GGGGTTTGTGTTATGTGAAGTTTGCAAACGACACTTTGCCAAGCAAACTCGTCCATCCAGTTGGTGTCAAACTATTGGCAGCTGCGGTGAGTTTTCTTAGTTGCTGATCTGTTCGCCGAGGTTGACAACTGTACACTGATGGTGTCTGTTCGTGCGGTGACGAAGCGTTTGCAATTCAACTACCAATCTCGGCGAACAGATCAACAGCCACTACGTTGTAGAATCTCTTGGCCGTTGTCCTTAGATCCAGTACCTTTCGCTGTGACTCCTTACACCTTCCTTTTTCACTCTTTTCTAGAGCATTCATTGGTGGGTGGCCACTAACATGCACTTCTCGCATATTAATGTCTAATCACTCTGTCCATAATGACGAAATGTACAGTTTTGAACATTAGGGTATGATTACACCATAAAGTGTGCACTTTTGTTCATTTTACGCGCACACACGGCTTCTTTGCTGTAATGTATGATTTCACTACACATCCGTGAGATCCCCCTGTGCTGTAGTGACTCATTCGCCGCAAAAGACCACTCCACCATCACGGTCTTGCAACTCATACCTCAGCATATTTATTGATCCACCTACAACATGACCTCCAAACAGCCAGGTCAGCATTGTTGTTTGGCTAGGATTCAACCGTTCCAGACATCCAGTGTCGCGTCCAAATACAGCCAGACTTCGGTTGATCAACACACGCAACTACACAACCTGTAAACAGCGACCCTGAGTGCATGTGGGGCGAGGCGGGCAGTGCCCTGCAACAGAGCACGCGAACTCGACTGCACACAGGAATTCTTCCATTCCACTACTATCGAATGGTTTGTGTGCATTCTACCACCCACCCCCCACCACCACATAGCGAAGATGTGTGTGTGTGCGTGTGCTGAGAAAGTTCTTGCTTTGCTGCATCTGTCTAGGTCAGTCGCTCGTGCGATTCGGGACCACACCTGTATAGATGATAGCTGAGCGGCCGATATGGTATGTGTCTTGTTCTCAAGGTCGGTGTTGTACCCTTCATCCATACTAGTGCGTCGTGCCTCGTGATGGACTCTGTTGTTTGTGCCAAGGTGTCTTGTTTTCTCCATTTGACAAAAGCGTTGTTCTACTGAGAGGTGCCGTGCTCGGCAGACGTTAATATTTCTTCGTCTGTGATTGATATTAGTCTATTAATTCCCTTGGACGATCGAGGCAGGAGTGAGGCTTTATGACTTCTTCGTCAGTGCAGCTCAATCTGGGAAAGCGAGTGATCCTTTTTGGAAGCCACTATGATGTAGACTGTATCGGGTTTATGTTAGGATAGTATGAACTACACAGTTCGCGGCCAAACACATACGGACCATATAAGTTGTGGGTTCGTACGAAGATCTAACTGGAGATGTTTTTACTTTGTTTGGCTGGTTGACGAAAGACCTCTCATTCTGTCATCCCAAACGAATGATACTCACGCTCAACATGTCAGTTGCATATGTTCCGAAGCGTAAAAATAAAAGAACTAAATCGTTCAGTTGTACCACCCTTTCGGTGCCTAGCTGCCATTGCACCCGAAGGAGGCACGAGGGCTGAGATACTGCCAGGTTGCCTAAGCCTAGACAGGACAAGTCGAGAGGCAGAGGTCGGGTTCGAACCACGGATCTTTCGGCCGGTAAATTCGCGCTCGAACCACTGAGCCATCCGAAGCATACCTGACACGTTTCTTTCGACAACTTAACCTTGGGCTGAAAGAAAACCAGCCAGGCTGTACAACAGGACACGAAATCGCATAATATGTATATTAGAACGGCCGAGTAAAACTTGGCTACGCTTCGAGGCCTGTAGCTACAAACGTACAAGTTACCTCTTACGAAAGCACTCATTATCGCCGGTGGCAATGCACAAATAGAAAATGCAACCAAAGAGGATGCAGCGTGATCATACGGTCAGATCTGCCCCTCCCTTCATGAAATACTCACGGGATGATTTCGTCCGAAAACCGCCCGGACAATACTACGTTCGGGAGCAATGACGCGGAGCGTTCGACCATACCGAAGTGCAGTATGTGCACAATGTTCCTTCTCGACCCATGTGTCTGTGATGATGTGTCATGGCACAACATTTTTTTCGAAGTCGCCATGCACGATCCGTTCGTTCGAAATAGGAATATCCCAACCACCATCGGTTTTGCAGATGCGACATGTCGGTCTGCTTTGCTCGCCTCATCATTTTTTGGTGCTCAAGCATTCATTGATACGGGGCGAGATGGCCAAAATGGTTAAGAGCACGAATTTACTGACCGGAAGGTCCGTAGTTCGAACCCGATCTCGACTTCCCTGTCTAGGCAACCTGGCAGTATCCCAGCCCTCGTGCTTCCTTCTGGTAGTATTGTAGTTAGGCACCGAAAGGGTGCTACAGCTGAACGAACGTGGTTGCTATGTGTTGGAGGCAGACGAAGCAGTCCCGCACTTTTAGCTTATCTTTGACTGTGTCAGATCAGCGAAAATGTGAGAAATCACTTGCCAACTTTCGTGCCAATAAGCCACCGCGTTCGTCGTTGAGCTGTTTGGTGTTGCACCAGTCACATAGGATAACACAGACAGCTTGGAATTTTATGTGGTACGAGGTGGGTACGCAGCAACCAGACCGCCAGGCTAATATGGTGGTCGAAATCTGAGAGGCGGTGATTCCGAACGTTGTCGGTGGAACGATCATGATCTAAATAAGGGGAGTTGTTAACGTGAGAAGTTCGAATTTGGTCTAAAACAATGCACATCGGGTACCTGGTGTTAATGGAGCGGATTCTGTATAGCCTATACGTTCGGCAACACAGTGCCTGGGTTAAGTTATCAGTACCTCTGATGCGATTGTTCAGGCAAGGTGATCTGTTCAAGACTTACGTCAATTCCTCGCTCCTTATGATCCCAGCCCGATTCAGTCAAACTTATACTGCATATCTACGTATGTTTTCATTTCATAAGTAACCTTAGAAACAAGATCGGCGTTAGCTCTTGCTGTAGAGGGGTACACGCATTCGAATTTCCTGCGTCGACCTCCGCTTAACGGCAGATTGTGGTCACTTTCACTTTGTGGTCAATTTTCTGGCCGAATAGCAAAAGTATCACCTCGGGTTCCTCCTATCCTACACTTTTCCCCACTAGATAAAGAGACAAGCCATTCAGAGGGATGTTTCATGTTGAAACGGAGCACTTTAATTGGTTTTAGCACTTGAGCACCCGGCCAATCAAGAGTTTCCTTGACATTTTATATGCCTTTTCTTTCGAAATGTCGAAATGTCAGGCTTTTTGGAGGAAGGGGAGAGTGTTAAATCCCAACAAGCCTCGATCGATAGAAGAAAATCAAATTTCAGACTTCACTGTTTTTCTCATGCGAGAACGTGGTACCTTGTTTGATTGTGTTTCAAGCTCTAAAAATCGATTGTCAGGCCTGTTGAGCATGTGTGAACGCATACATGAGTGATTCTTCAAGGGTACCAACTGTGACAGAGCCCTTGGTTTTCACCTCAGATCTAACCACTTTTTATCAAATATTCAAGTTCCCTTTGAATTCGACTGCGGTCCAAATCGATTACCGGTATGACGGTGATACTACTGATGGGGAGGCACGCGAGTAGTATGTGTTCACGGAATTTCGCTTTGCGTCTTTTGAAAGAGAGAAATCTGTTGTGGAATTCGTGGAGTCACTTTGTAACATTTGCTTGGATTTCAGCGAGGAATGATTGGATTGGATGAATCTCCAGGAAAGTTCAAGAAGACGCGTTCAGGAAAAGATGGATGTCCAGTTTTTTTGTAAATAAGATGCAAATTAGAGTTTTGCTTCCCTGTCCAATGGTCTTTAACCGGTCAGTTGGTATTTCCTAATAAATAACTCTGCGGCGAAGGCCTTCTGTGACGAAAGAGTGTATCCGATTTACGTCGGTTTTCGCCACAAGGTTTAGATCATCCTAGGCTACAAGGTCATGGGAATGGTAATCGGTCACATGAAAGATCACAAAAGTTGCCATTCTTGGAAATGCGCTCACGGTCAGATATTGCCAATTTTTCCACGGATGATGCATAGTCATCAAGCGTGACCTGCCTCCATCTTAAGGGTCTCCAGTAGCCAGTGACTGGAGCAACATCTTAGTCCGCCGAGTTCCAGTCGCAATCTAGATGCGCACTCATTGTTTTGATTATTGGTTTTTGAACTCTGCATTGGTATTTGACAGACTAATCATATTCAACCTATTTTTTATACAGCGAAGCATCTCTACGTCGACAGGATCTGGCTACTGTGAAACTGCGTACCTTACTGCCTAGAATTTACGTGGTCCTCATCACATACGCCTTGAAACTTTACAGTCTCTCTCTTTACAATCTCATTGGCGAGTATACCATCCAGCGGAACTTTTTCCAGGTTTGTGTTATGTGAACTTTGCAAAAGATACTGGGCCAAACGAACATGTCTATCCAGTTGGTTTCGACGGGGGCGAGATAGCTCGGTGGTTTAAGGCCCAAATTTACTGATAGAAAGGTCCCTGGTTCGAACCCCATCTCTGTCTCTCGACTTCCCTCGTCTAGGAGAAATCTGGCAATATCTCAATCTCCCGTGCTTCCTTCGGGTGGCATGGCAGTTAGGCACCGAAAGAGTGCTACAGCTGAACGAGTTGATGTCGACGGAACCTATCGAAAACGGCCGTCCTTGAGGATGTTACAGCCCACACAAATAACATAACTTTAGAAGCATCATAGACATTCTAACTGGTTCTCACTTTTGCTGTTAGTTGCGATAAACGTTTAAATAGGTCAAGCAAAGGCAGTAGTCACTGTCGAGGAGTTTTGCTCTACGTACGGGATTGTCTACATCTTCTGGGACGCTTATTTTAGGTGGTTAATCTAGCCCAAAGTAGACTCACTTCATCCTTAACTGCTTTTGCTTGCGATCCAACTGACAACACAAACCTTGATTTCCCCCGGAGTAGACAGCAAACTATTCATGACGTTTCACACTTTCTTGCCATCTGTCACAGAACTCCTATTCCTGGAAGCTCCCCACTTTGTCAAAGTTCATGAATTCTCCGCAAAAGAACAACAGCTCCTGGCCCACTCCCTGGCACTACATGAGCAGCAGCAGCTGAGTGAATGTGAACAGCAGACGGAAGAGAAGCAACTAAACACTGACTTGTCGTCTGGTATTTGCACCGATGTGTCGGTCCAACCTGTCAACGATGACTACCTGGCGGCCGTGTACGACATGACGGAGTGCAGTCAGCGCACTGCTGCTGCTACTCCTCGAGCTGAACTGGATGCCACTTGTGTTGATGGGGAAACAACCGCCGTTTACCAGCGGGCATCAGCCAAAGAACAAGCCGGATGGGATTTCTCGGAAACTCTGGACGATGTGCCCGCGTCGACTGAGCCTTCGCCGGAGGACGAGCAGTTCTTTGACTCACCCATCAAGGAAGACTCCTCTCTGGTTCGCCATCGTCGAACTTCCATACTGCGTTGTACAGATCGAAGTACCTTAAGTCCAGGTGTGTTGCTTTTTTTGGCGACTTTGATGTTTTTGCTAGTAGACCACACATGGTGTTCAATCCGTGTTGAATGATTCGTTGGTCGCCTACCTTGTGTGCTGACAGTTAGCAGCTAACTCGAGTAATGCCCTTATTCATCATTCACACGCATCTGATCAGTGTCGAAATCCGTTTTCACAACTGCGCTACACCTAGAAGTAGTAAGAAATTCAGTGTTTACACCGAGACGAATGATTCTATCCGTCCACATTCCCACACTTGGTGGTCGAGTTGTTTGTTGCGCTTAGCAGTTTTGTTGCAAATGTTCTACTATCATGTCTTGGCATGCGTCATCTATTTGGATATCAGTTCTCATCCTTCCGCGATCTTCAACCTTCTTTGTTTAAAAGTTCCAGGTCGCTTGATGCCCCTGCATGAGTATCCGCCAACAATGTAAGAACCGCATGTCTGCAACCTACGTAAGGCGCTCCAAGTAGCATCCAAGTCCGCAGACAGTTGATTGGGAACAGTCCCCGAGCATAAACTAGCTTCGTCGACAGTCACCTGGGCTAGATAGACAAGATGACTGATAAGTACCGATAATGAACAAGTAATGGAATATCACGCTCGATGCTGCATGGGTTACGGTCCACGTTGCATCAGATCAATTAGGCATGACCTACAGCGCAGTCAGGCGACACGGCGCGAAATCGCACAGTGGTCGATGTGACAGACTCGCTTAATTATGCCCCACGGGCCATAACTCAAAGTACAATTTGTCTAGTGCAACACGATCCACGATGACCCTTCAGTAAATTAAACATGCAAAGTAGATGGCCATGTGCCCATTCAGATACACTTTTGGACGAACGATATGGTCATCGAACGTCGGGGAGGACTCGATAAGTACCAAGTCCCTGACGTGGAATGGGATCGGGTTGACGTGAGATCGGATCCTCTTTCGAATTAATCGAATGGGTACAGATGATTGGACATTTGACGCTTCGAGTAGTGGCTTTGGGCAACTGACCGCAGGAACCGGTGTGCACCACCCGATAATTTGTGTTGAACGTAAAACTTGGCCAGACTAGCCCAATGGACCCGCTCTCCAAACTCTGTGCGAAGGCTTCAGTGGCGACCCCCAGAAAGCAAAGTCAACCGAGGCTGAAAAACGAGGGAACACTGTGTCAACGTTCCATCATCAGTGTACGTCTCATTGAACTTTCAAGGCTAGTTGAACCCGCAGGCTTCTGATCCCTGTCTGTTCCATAGGTGTCCAATAAATCTCCCCACTACCTACAAATCATCAGTGTACGTCTCATTGAACTCTCAAGGCTAATTGAACCCGCAGGCTTCTTATCCCTGTCTGTTCCATGGGTGTCCAATAAATCTCCCCACTACCTACAAATCATAAGTAATCTAATTGAAAGGAAAAATCCCAAGTCGCATTGACATTCTAAGAAGCTATCACTCAAGAAGCCGGTCACGTGACGGGAACCGGGTGATCGAAGGATGCTGGTGGTATATCCTTTCAGAACAGAACATGAGGTTGACGAAAAGTCAGGAACTACACACCATAGTCCGGTTGTCAAGAGAATTAATCACACTACTGTTCAGCCACTCGCGGCCGGATGAAATCGCTTCACAACCTTGCAGACCAATGAGATGTACACTGCTAATGATGATTCCCAATCAGGACGGCTATTCAGCATGGGTTGACTGCCTACATGACTTAAGGTGCGAAGTTGTCACACTGCATCTCATTTTTGGCGTCCTTGGGACTAGAATGGTGGAATTGGTATGATGAACCCATCATTACATCACATTGGACACTTGTCAAGCGAAGTCAGGTTTGGTCAGAAAGCATTCGTTGATGTAGCGCGGGAGTAAATGGCCTCCTCGTCGGTTCTGGAGGGTTTTGTTCCTTGAGGTGGTTGCTGTGGAAGACATTCCATGCTCTCATAATTCCCAACTCTATGGGACTGGTTCTTCGTAAAGGATCCGTCGTACCATTCATTCAGATGCTCTAATAGACCATCAATTCGCAATCTGTACTGACGCTTGCTTGAGTGATACGCGCGTTCGACATACACACAAACGTTCCTTTCACGCGTGCTCCCATTACTTGTGCTCGTCCGTACTCCCATCGAGGAACTTTCCATCCAAGAAGACCATTCCTTACAGTCCGTCCTCGAGGGAACAAACCCGATATGGTTCTGGTTCACTTTCCAAGAGGACAACGTCCAGTACCATCAGCCCAGATATTTAGCTAACTCCTGTTCGGAAGCCCAGCTGACACACTGATCTGTCATGACAGTGTACTCATACAAATGAAGGACAGAAAGGGACAGCGCACCATAATCCAATGTTTTCCAAACCCCGGTGAATATCCCTGGTTTCATTTTGGTGGTTCTAACTCAAATTTAGCTAATGAACTAATCACCACGTTTATGGGTGAACCACATGTATACGTATGATCATCCTCCGACGAGAAAAGATTTTGAAATCCTCCAAAGGTGTTTTCTCGAATCAGAAGAACACGAGCCAAACAAAAATGCTGGAACCATTTACCCAGAATGATCGATGATCAAGTCCAGATTGAAGCACTCGTTGGTCGCTGACCGGCTGACGCAACACTTGGCAGCCGCAACTTCCGTTTCTGTTTGCGTCACACGGTTGGGTACCTTGGAACGTATAGTAAAAGATGGCCCAGTGATTAGAGCGCGAATTTACTGACCGGAAGATCCGTGGTTCGACCTCTGCCTCTCGACTTCCCCTGTCCAGGCTTGGGCAATCTAGCAGTATCTCAGCCCTCGTGCTTCCTTCTGGTGGCATGGCAGCTAGGCACCGAAAGGATGTTACAGCTGAACGATTATCGACTAAATCAAAAGATGTTAGCGGAAAAGAGCTCAGTAAGATTTGATCGGATCACTTCCGTCGCCACTTAGTCCGACGTTTTTTTAGTTCGAAAGTGCTCGTCCTCCGCTAACTTGATTGAACTGTAGTTTTGCTGAAACTGTGAGAGAGGTACCCTCGGATTCATGATGTTGCGGCACAATGATTGAATATGTGAGCATCGCTCACACCCAGCGCGTAATACAATCGACTGAATTGTTAGTGAAGCGGAACCCACCGGCCCTATATTTGATCCACAACTACGTTTGGCCAACTTTCACAATCTTGAGTTTATCGGAAGCGGAAAAAATTTCCAGAAAAATGCGTAATCTCAATGGCGTTCCACTAGTGAGCAGAGTCGTGTCCAACTCCGTTTCACGTCCGTATTTAATCAGTCCGTTTCAAATGTTGAGAATTGGTCTTTTTCACAAAACTACGTTACGTCGCACATTCCATCCAATGCGTACACACTAATCTCGAGTCGGTTCCTCGGTCCCCGACGCAACGCACCCCACCTTTCGGTATTTACGTTCAACTCACGTGGTCTCTGGACCTATGCGACCAGTTACCGATTTCACGCACACGCTCACCCTTCCATAGGTAGGTTCAGACAATCTCGCCTTTGCGTAAAGTACATCCGCCACGGTCGTAAACATGCGCGTACGCGTCTGCATCCTATTGATCCGCATGTGCGCCACTCTGTCCGTAAACAATAACAATGTGAATGTGAAACAAAGTACACGTACAAGATACACATTTCCCTCCAGTGCGCCTCTTGTCCCGTCCCTTTAAAAAGAAGTCATCATCTAGCGTGCTTGAACAGGTCCACAGACCCATACTGGCCGGAACCTAGTGGCAAACAGTTCAGCTGTCCTACCGACACCCCTAGTCTTGTTTTTCATGAGACCGGGAAAATAATAATAACTAGCTACCGAATTCTTTTGTTCTTCAATTGCAGTAGGAAGACCGTGTACTGGTCGAGTTTCCACATCTTCCCTGTGGAAAAATCGCGGCGAAATCACTGACTTTGTATCAAACCGTACCTACGGACACGTAACTCTTCCGCCGTACGGTCCCCCCATCTCGTTCACTCTGCATGCTGTGAACACCCGACACGGTACCGCACCTCGTTGCACACCTGTCGTCTATTGAGAGAAATTACCACGTTTAGTTGGTCCCTTGGAGCTTGTTGGAGAGGTCACCTCTCTAATATGATCATGGACATTTATTGATCAGCTACCACGCACCCTAGAAGAGATAAAAAATACTGAAAAAAATCAGTAGATGTTTGTTAAGCAGCGTAAGCGGAATAATCGTTTGGTATGACCGGTTTAATACACCAGTATGCAATCCATATGGGATGTATGAATGAAATGATTATAAAAGTCCAGAAGCTGGCCACTACTCTCCTCGATCACATCCAAGTTGATGCGGTCCCGGATTAGATCGATGCTTTTTTCACAGCTCTGTGTCCGTTCTAACAGAAATCTCCCAGAAGGGACCACTCTCTGTCAGTCTCTTTCGAAGGACATGATTCTGCAAGTCAATTCGGTTCAACGGCACTCGTGTGGGTGTGAGCGTTGTTCCGCGTGAACCAACTGTGTCTAGACCGGGCAGTGCACACTGACATGGACGCCATCAAAGTGAAGGTACTCTTCTCCCCTCCGGCACTCCGTTGGATTGTCAACTATATAGCCGACCTCAAGCTCTGGAAACGCTCAATCTGTGCAACAAACTATCTGGAACGAACAGAATTGTGGTGTGAGACAGAAACTGACGTTATTGATGAGACGGCAGCGACCAGCTAGCTGGCTACCGAACAGAAAGAAGAAGAGGTCTGTTGTGTTTTGGCTACCTTACAACGCAGAGTCAGTCCACAGTAACAGCTATACTGCACGACTCAATTTAACCGCACCGTCATTGCACACCGTTTGATGAGCTTGGCGCTTCTGCCCGCCGGCTACACTACAAGATTTACCGAATTGTGCCTTAGTTTCGAGTTTTATCTCGCATAGTCTTGCAATTTTACACTTTTCTGGTGGTTGTCGCGCACATCAAATCGTACGGCAGGATTATTCAGGCAGTTCGAGGTTTCGGAGTAACGGCACTCGATGGGTAACAGAACGCGCTTACGCGTCCAGATATACCAATTTGCGTATTTCTCGCGTTCCGTCACGATCAACGATGTACACCGATGCGTAGCTTCAATAGGATGGAATTCAAATCCAATATTGCAGTAAAGAATATGGACACCGACATTCTATTGCTAACCATACCTCGAAGAAATCCTTCAGTTGTAACACCCTTTCGGTGCCTAGCTGCCATGCCACCCGAAGGAAGCACCAAGGCTGAGATACTGCCAGGTTGTCCAAACCTAGACAGGAGCAGTCGAGTGGCGGAGGTCGGATTCGAACCATGAACCTTCCGACCAGTGCTCTAACCACGGAACCATCTCGAACCCTATCCCGATCAGGTTATGGTTAGTTGATGGTCTGATCTGGGAGCATCCAGCGACGGTTGTCTGAACTGCTCAAATGGCTACCCTTCCTCCTAGAACGTTCAGCTGTAGCACCCTCCCGGTGCCTAGCTGCCATACCACCCGAAGGAAGCACGAGGGCTGGGATACTGCCAGGTTGCCCAAGCCTAGACAGAGGAAGTCGAGAGGCGGAGGTCGGATTCGAACCACGGACCTTCCGGTCAGTAAATTCGCGCTCTAACCACTTGGGCCATCTTGCCCCCTTCCTACTAGAGACTCTTCCCAGGAGAGCTCCCAGGTGATCCACAATGATGCTCCCCATCAGTAACGACTTGGTGTGTTTTCCCTATCCCTAAGAAAAAGCCATCATCAAGATAGCCCCGAAATTGCATATCCTTGTGCTAACCTCTCTTCGAGAAGATAGCGGTTGAGATGGAACTTTAGCCGACATTGCATGGAACAAGCTGGTGTGGAGACACATCAGGTGCTGTTGTGCTGCACGGATCAGGGCCATCTGTCTTCCAATAACAGAAAAGAAAATAGTCGACTAAATTTGTAGGAGTCGTTCCATTGTTTGGTGGTGTCAATTGCTTTCTGCGTCAAGCCTCAAACCTTGTAAGGTGCAGAACAAGGTTGGAAAGGTTCTAAGCTTTTGTCCTCGGACAATCTTGGGTTAGCAGTCGACGGAACTCCTGAGACAACCCAGAGGCCGACTCCGCTGCAACGAGTTATCCTCCATACGCTGGGCATATACCAGTCGACTCAATTTAAGAGAGGGCGAGGTGGCGGATTCACTGATCGGAAGGTCCGTGGTTCGAACCCGACCTCTGCATCCCCTGTCTAGGCTTGGACAGCCCTCGTGCTTCCTTGCAGTGGCATGGAAGTCAGGCACCAAAAGGGTGTTACAACTGAATGACAGGCCCAATATGGTCTCCGGTGGGCGAGATGGCCCAAGTGGTTAGAGCGCGAATTTACTGACCGGAAGGTCCGTGGTTCGAATCCGACCTCCGCCACTCGACTTCCCCTGTCTAGGCTTGGGCAACCTGGCAGTATCCCAGCCCTCGTGCTTCCTTCGGGTAGCATGGCAGCTAGGCACCGGAAGGGTGCTACAGCTGAACGCTTTTTTCCGATGGGCGAGTCAGAACCGTGGGTTCAAGTGGCCAATCAGCTGTGTGTACATGCAACCTAATTTAAGGTAAAACGAATTCGTCGGTTGAACACTACAATTTATCTAAAGTGCTCACGTGAGTTTCCACTGGATCTTTAAAATTCTAAATTCATGACACCCACCTTAGGTCATTTACTCTAAATCGCTGCCTCTCTGCTGTCTTCCTAAATTCCTCTAACACACTTTCATCCCATTCATTAAAAAAAAGCAGATGGGGAACACAATCGAAGCGTCCGAAAACGCGTCCGCTTCTCCCTTGGTGCAGCTCATCCTAGTCCGGCGTTGGAAGCGGAATATGGCGGTCGAAGTAACCGACGACGTCTGATTGACTTCGCCCGTCGGCGACAACTCCTGGCCAACGGTGCTGACGCTTCAGATTTATTCCCCGCAGATAACCTGTACAATGTCCTGTTCAATACCAACTATAATCCCCTGTTCCTTGTGTTCCGGTGCACCCGTTATCTGCTCAAATTGCTTCACATGCTCATCTTCCATGCTCGTGTGCAACTTTTTATTTGGTGTTCCCTACTGATTTGTCTGTTCTTCTTCGCCACCTTGTTGGTTTGTGGCTCTTGTCTGAATATGCCCTGGTCGACATTGTTTCCGCCCCCTTCTCTAATGACCAAGTCCTGGAACGATGGGGCACCGTCTAAATCCCTCACTTCGGAAGTTTGCACCCGGTACTTTGTTTGGTTGAATTCCTATTGGACCCAATGGGTCGGTTCCTGATACGGCACCTCTCTCCCAATGGACTGCTAGTGCCAGATAAGGCTGTGATGATACGCTGCGTTGTCCTGATAACAAATATCGTCTGATATCCCATGTGTACATATGTGCTCTTTAATCTGGGTCATTTTCCACATTCTCTACCGTCTGCTCATGAGCATGGCTCATTCCCTTCCGTGAATCCACTGTTTTCTCTCCTCTCCCTCCGTCCCGGTTGTCCATCATTCCCCCTGAAGCAATCAATTGTGAACGAGCGCCTTTTAGATAGATAGACAAAACTTATTTGAGCGCGATTGCTGCGCAGTTTTGTTTTTTCTACACTCCCTCACCAACTTTGTCACCGCTGCATCTACTCGTAGCTGTTTCCCGTTTCTTTGTGTTCTTTGATGTTGTAAGTGTTGTCTTTGTTGTAAGACTGGGCGATATGCGAGAGTCACCCCCGGGTTATCGCTCCTTCTAATCTGAATGAAACGATAATGCTTTCTCCCAACCCATGTGAAGTTCTTCTCTCCTACTGTATTCTTAAAGGCGACTTATGGTTATACTTTACGGACCTAACAGCGCTCATCCTCTGAATCAGATGTGTAATTATACAGGGGCCTTGCTGTTGTCCACTGGGATCAACTAGCAAGCTCACTTTGTGGGCCTCTTCATCACTCCTGGGAGTTCTGTTCGGGTCAAGAACCATATGAATAACGTAACCAAGTTCGCGAACCAAGATGGGATGAAGCGATCGCCCTTCCTCAAAAGAGGAAGACGGGCCAAACTAGCCGTCACTCCGAACTGCTAACAAAACTTCATCAATGTTCATCCTTCTGCGATATTGTCTCTGTGGGGATGAATAAAGGACCACCTCTACATTTAGCGAACAGACTGAGCTAGTGAGTACAGTGAGTTTTTTCTCCGAACCATAACTTTTGTCAATGATCGGTGTCTTGGAGGGTTTTCGCCCCATCAAAATCCATCAATCTTGACACTGGCTATCGAACTATCCGCAACAGCGTCATACCAAAGCCTTAAACTGAAACTCTTAAGCATGATTCACTGTAGTACGCTACCCTTTTGCAAAATTTGCACAGGAATACCCGAGACCATCGTGAGCAGGGACAATATTTGGCCTCCACTGGGAGTGTCATTTTCGGGGATTACCAACTCGTGGCTGACGGAAAACGCTGCTGTGAATTCGCCAATGGAGTAGCCTCTTTTCGGAGTTACCTCTGCAGTGAATTTTGTAGTGGCTGAGAAGTCATCCGCATTCCCCCGTGAAAGGCGATCTGGTCCCCTGAGCCCAGAATGCTTGAGTAGTCATTTCTCTACATTTTTAACCACAAAATAAAAAGTAGCGTTTGGGCAGTCCTGAAAGACTATACTCAGACTATATTCAAGACAGTTCCCTCTCGACGGTCGCTTCACCCCCCGGTGAGCGATTTTCGCCATCGTCAGAATGGAGTTATAACCTAATATGAGGGGAGAGCCACGGCCGCTTCTTGCTACACAACCGATTCGGAACGGAGTGCGAGAGCAAACGTCACTCAACCAACATAATCGAGGTAAGAAGAATAGATCGGCCACAAACGAACGCCTATCGGTTTGATCCATACGCGATGCGCATTTAATTTTCCAAGCTCACATGAAGTCGGGTAATGCTAGGTAAAACAATTATAAATTCGCAATAGATGTTCCGAACTCCCGGTTCGGAGGCAGTTGAAAGGGCGTTTAGAAACGCCAAATGTGTGTCGTCTAGCCTTTTATCGGTGGACCTCAATCGAAAGCTTAGAGTATCAGTCGGTTAGGGTGTACCAAGAATCTTGGTGTATCTTACACCAAAAGGAATGGTACCTCAATCCTCGGGGGGTGGTCTCTCTTCGGACGTGTCGTACAATAAGCCATGGATGACGGGAATGGTATCACGGAATATTCAAGGGACACCCATTGTTCGAAAGGACATCTTGACAAAGTGATGTGCGCAAAATTTCATGAACCCCTGGTGGTGCAATGATCACACTGCATAGGTTGCGCTTCCTTGGACTTATGATCCGTATGCCGGTTACAGACATTGTCAGACATGGCCCAGTCGCGTCCTCAATGGCGCTCATGCATCCAAGCTACTGCCTTCATTGCATAGCTCCCTTCCCAATTCACCCACTTAACAGTCCACCTACAGTGCTGTATTCACACACTTGTTTATCAGCTCCCGCCTCCAATGCACAGCTATCTACTCCACCTCCCCGAATCATCGGTGAACGAAACTGTGGCAGGTACAGCCACTGCACGACAGACAACGATGATGATGAATCTAAGTGAAATTCCCCTTTGGAGAAAGTGGTTGCTGTGCTCAGAGGTAGAGGCACCAGGTGTCGTAAACATCATATCTTTAGCGGAACCTTCTTCCAATTACTCACAAGCCTTATAGATGAACTACACTATTCACCTTTAGCAAACTCCCCCCCAACCATCTGTCTGGGTATCCCTAGACAGCCTGACTGCTTGCGGAGCAATTATGGGCAAAGTTGTGTGTGAGTGGCTCTCACCGCTGTGTACACTTTAACTATCCTAGACAGTGCGTGCTTTTCTGTTGAATGTTTGAGTGGGATGGTGGTAGCGTCCCCTTTTGTCAGATTTGATCAACCCATTGATAGCATTCCGCCCCACTTACACAGGCTGAACCAACGGCCATTTCACTGGAATTAGGGGGACGTTGGCGTGGCGGGTTACCTGAAAAGCAAAGAAACAGACGTGTGACAGTCCTCCAAAAACAAGCGAGTCCTTCGGTACCACTTTCTGCACTCAGTGCATATGCTTGGCTGAACAGTGTCTTGACAGCTAACCTGCACCCGTATAACTTGACTTTCTTGATTTGATATGTTCCATCCTCAGATCCTTTCCCTTGACGTTCTTTTTTAATCCTGCAAGTCTGTGTCCTACAAGTTAGCGGTACTTCTCTTCCTGTGTGTGTATGCTGACACCGATTGATTGTTTGTGACTATCGCAGTTCATGCGACCACATGGACTGCAAACCAGATAAAGAGCTTGATTCAATTCGTCATCGCCGGCGTCTGTGGGATGGCCCCAAGACCGAAACGTCCACCCTAACCTTCCCAACTGTCAAACTATTGTTTTCCCTACTAGCTTCGGATAGGCGTACTTGTTAACAGTTTCCTGCTGCTCATGAGTGATACGGAGAGGCTGAGGTTGACAGCCATCCCATCAAACGTCGGCAGTCGGTCTGACTTATTTCTACCAAATTTCGATGATTTTCGTCTCTATGCTTTCAGACTGAGAGCGATATCCGCTCCCTGATTAAGTCCTATTGGTAACTTCATTACTGCAACCGTTCTTTATGCCGAAATTCTCGTTCCAGGACAATCTCCCTCCTACGGTTAGATTATTGAAACACATTTCAAAGTGCATGGAATCTCAGGGATTGTCTCGGTTAGTTTGACTACTTCTACGTGAAGGTCGTATGGATACTTACTACTGACTAGATAGAGCAATGGAGATTGTAATGTACATTCTGGAGCCTCGCCATCATCATCATCATTGTCAGCTTTCATAACCGCGTACTTGTCGTACAGTGGTAGTAGCTGTCACAGTTTCGTTCACCAATGATTTGGGGAGGTGGAGTAGGTAGCTGCGCAGTGGAGGCGGGAGCTGATAAATTGATGCATAAACACAGCAATGTAGGTGGACTGTTAAAACGGAGGATTGGGAAAGGAGCTATGCATTGAAGGCAGTAGCTTAGATGCATGAGCGCCATTGAGGGCGCGACTAGGCCATGTCTGACAATGTCTCTAACCATTGATTTGGCCCGTCTCGGGGTCCCCATCCAGGAAGACGGCAATGACCAGCGCAGCTGAGTTTGCCGGTAATGGCTTCTACACTTCGCTTTCAAGTCATTGTTTGACTGCCTCTGGCTCTCTTCCACCCTTCACGTGGTTGTACGAAAAGCGCATTTCGAGGAAGTCGGTTGACTGGCACACGGAGCACGTGGCCAAGCCAGCGCGACCTGGAGCCTTGTAGTAATCAACGAAATGAGCCGAATGAAAGTCCCGGAGACAGTGCTTCGAGACGTGACGGGGTGGATTCATAAAAAAGCAATTCACAGTGTGAGAGCTGTCCAATGTGTGCAAAACGACACCTACACAGTTGCTGTGCGCGCACGGGTTCTCCGCTCTGTGAATTAGTCCATGATGGAATCCTACTCTCGTCGGGTCTTCCTTCAATCAGTCACTCGGATCAGTCTCGATAAATCGATAAACCTAATCAGTCCGGACAAAGACACTCCTCACCAAGATTGGGACGTATACCAGAAGCATGGCCTATTTTCGAGCAATGCTATTCTGGTTCTTGAACAAGGTTACAACAATTAGTAGAAATTCGGATTCAATCTGTGGGAGAAAACGCGGTTGCTTTACAACAAGTATCATCCCAACCTAAACGTATCAGGCACCCATGAAGCACCCACAACTCGTGAATGAATCATGACAGCACAAGACAAGATGGACTATTCGCCATGGCCTACCTCGTCATCACATATCCCATGTTTTCATTACGTTACCTGGATTCTCTCATAGCTTCTATGGTCCCGTCTAAACAGCGTGACTGCATTCGAGCTAACGAAATTTTGAGCAAGTCCTGGTGGACGTCGACAATATTTTTTCATTGGTGCATCGGTCCAGTTGCTACTCTAGTTCACTCCAAGTCTTCGCTGGTCCGTTTCAACTCAGTAGCTGTCGCGGTCGTTACTATCAGACACTATCGGACGCTTCTAGATCCGGAAATTCTTCACACTTCCAGGGGACCAAGCCTTCTGCATTTGCTGTACCAGAGTATGTTGGCGGATCCCGAAGTTTAGCGCCTCTGTACTGCAACTTTGCCTGTCCAACTGTGGTCCCGGATACGTTGTTGGCAAGATGATTCTATTGGAAAAGGTTAGCGCCATCAAAAAGGACCTGATTGTCTTGAATCAAGTTCGCGCCAAGTTCCATGTGAATTCAAATGATGTGAAACTGTACGAACCCCCGTTTCGTTGTCATTTACAGGGATTGGACTAAACGTTGACGACGAGCAGCGTTTGAGCGAAGAGTAGTGAGACTGTCGCACTGCCCGCTAAACCCATGTCAGGCTCTTGGGATTACAGGGAACTTTCCAAGACGATCACAGGTAGCCACCATAAGGACCATACTGCAACTTTGCCTGTTCAACTGTGGTCCCGGATACGTTGTTGGCAAGATGATTCTATTGGAAAAGGTTAGCGCCATCAAAAAGGACCTGATTGTCTTGAATCAAGTTCGCGCCAAGTTCCATGTGAATTCAAATGATGTGAAACTGTACGAACCCCCGTTTCGTTGTCATTTACAGGGATTGGACTAAACGTTGACGACGAGCAGCGTTTGAGCGAAGAGTAGTGAGACTGTCGCACTGCCCGCTAAACCCATGTCAGGCTCTTGGGATTACAGGGAACTTTCCAAGACGATCACAGGTAGCCACCATAAGGACCATCCAGCGGGACAGTGTTGCCGCCCAGATGCGTGTGAGCCTCTGTTTTCCCGAGCAGGTCCCCTTGTTCTGTGAAGGCTCGTGTGTTTTAGACAAGATCCCACCTTCCCTAGGCACACAGCTAATGGGCCTTTCTTCAAGCGACCGATCAGTCCCATAGTTTTTCGTGATACGATAAGACAGTTATCTGTGAATGTTTGCGGGTTGACGACATCGCTGTGTACAGTTATATGGTCTGGAGTGGCTGCTCTATGAACGGAGCGAAACCAAACTAAATGTGCTATTTTTGTCCGCCATTCTAATGAACCAACCAGTGTTTTCTGGTCTTCTCTTACAAGTTCACTCTCCATCGGGGGTGACACCAGCCAGCGACAAGGTGTAAGAGCACCACCGGTACTGACAGGTGAGGAAATCACACTAATACCAATGAGTTGTGTTGGCTATCTCTCTGCAAAATGCCAGTCTGGTGATTTTGGATTGCTAGCTAGTTGACAGAATGTGGTATTTTGAAAAGTTGTAGAAACAAGACCTTTTGGCGTACATTGGTCGCGCTTCCATCGATCCACTTTACATGAGTTCGGTGTTCACCGATGGTCACAATAAGGCCCTTTCTTCCACGTGTTCCACGTGTGCACATTTGTCGAACAGTTTCAAATTGATCGTTTCGAGTGGAAACGAATTCAGGTATTGGATCGACACTGTGGACTGGTGTGTGGAGGTTAAAATTGGGCCGACGGGTGGGGGCATGTATGTAGCGAAGGAGCAATCCTCACAATCACCGAAATCTTCCCACCTCTCTACAGATGCCCAATGAGAATTGAACAACTGCTTTGATGAGATATACAATGATAATGTTAAGAACTAATGTGTCCAGATGGACAGAGCTCAAGTGGCGCTCCCGGTAATTCATTTGTGCAAATGAACTGCCGCTGATTGGTTGGCCAGCGCAGCGGGCATCTGAAAAAAGAATCGTCCACTTCAGGACTCCAAAACCGAGTAAATCACAGGTAAAGTAGACGTAGAGTCAATATACCGACTGACCTTGACTACATGAACGTATGGCCACACAACCTTTGTGGAAGGATATTCCACACCTATGGGGGGGGGGCGAGATGGCTCAGCGGTTAGAGCGTGAATTTATTGACCGGAAGGCTCGTGGTCCGAAACCGACCTCTGCCTCTTGACTTCCCCTGTCTAGGCTCGGGCGACCTGGCAGTATATTAGCCCTCGTGTTTCTTTCGGATGGCATGGCAGCTAGGCACCGAAAGGATGTTACAGCTGAACGAATACTGTTGTTGGTATGCGACGTTCCCTTCCCCTCCCCGGATGTACCTTGTTCAATGGTTCTAGCTCCTTGCTAACCTGGGATTATTCTAATTTTGTCAGATGGATGGCAATACGCTACGCATCATGCCCTGATTATTCAAGGGTTTGTAGGCCGAAATCGCATAGTGCCATTAGAAACCGAGTTATTTAGAACAAATCCACTGCAACGAACGCATCTTTTTGCCAGTTCAAAGAAAAATTCCAGTTGAAGCTACCCCACACTAGTGACTAGATCAAGTAGGTTCAAATTCTTTCGGCTAGAATGATCACGTGGCGACAGAATTATGGGCAGTCACCGCGATTGGCTCAATCAGCCTCACGTTGTTTTGTGATTCTGCATGCGATCGATCGACCAGGCCAACCCGTGTGATTTAACCATTTCTGCTTCACAGGGCTTCGTTTGTTTCAAAGATATGAAGCAGAATTGCCAGGTGATACTTGCTCCAACCTGTTCAGAATATCGATTAGCCCGAATGGTTGACAGGTGCCATTGATTACTTATTTTGTAGGGTAGAAAAAAGAGCAAGTTTTCCAAGCACACAAAGTACGCCATTTTCTTGAATGCAAACACGTTTGAACGCACAGTGGCTATCTACACCGACCCTGAAGAGATGTTAGTCTACCCGACTCCAAAAAGGAATCCCAAAAGGAAATAATTGTCAACATAACTCAAGCTCACTGATTTCGCTCTTCAACGAACACAAGACAAAGCCTAACCCAACCCCCCAAAAACAAGACTAGTGTCAGTCAGGTCTGAAAAAGAAGTGCAGTCCACCCCCGGTTAGACCTAAGTAAACAGCCTCAAAGTGGAATTAGATGGGCGTGCCCAATCTCCGTCGATAGCTTGCAACGGATAAACACGGTCTCCACCGAATTAAGGAGCGCAAGCAATGGTGAAAAAGCCTCGCGTGGCAAGGATACCAGGACACTTCTTCATCAGTACAGTACTCATCCGACCGCTAAGGAGTCCGCTACTCTCCATGTTGCCTTGGATTCTCACATGCGTTCGATATAAGATTGAACTTCGGAGATTGTACTCACCTGATGAGCCCCAACCAAGAAGAACTCTACAGTAGGCTACGGGCGACTTCTCATCATATAAGTAGTGCGCGCACCTCAACAAATAGAAATGTTTCCTGGCACATGACACATGGAAGCACTGAAGCCCAATTCTCGACTACCCACGCTACCAATTCCACGGAGTTGGCGCACTGACCGTACACACTTGCTGGATAACACCGTTTTGGCTATTTTGCCACAACCAACTACTCATCGTAGCGTGACGGAAGTCTTTTGGGGGACTGGCGCTTGAATTGGCCAGTGAGTCAGGCCTATTGACATCGTCTAACTCCAATAAGACGCTGAAGTGCAACTAGTTGAATGCTGTTGAGTGCACATTACTCTCGTGACTGTTTTCACTAGAGGTGTTGGGGGCATTGTGGTGGCCCTTCGTGCAGCACATTCAGTTGGAGAATATCATAAACGAGATATTCAGTCAAGGCTCCCGTGAAAACCCAGTTGACATGCAATTACTGTGGAACCTCGCTCTCTCTCTCTCCACGGTTGGAACCCCGTTCCTACTACTCTTGGTGTATTGCTGATAAGCAAGCTTTGTCTGTTGGCATCGTTTAGCTGTAGCACTGCCTAACTGCCATGCCACCCGGAGGTTTCACGAGGACTGCGATACTGCCAGGTTGCCCAAGCCTAGACAGGGGAAGTCGAGAGCCAGAGGTCGGGTTCGAACCATGGACCTTCCGTTCACCTGCCTGTCGTCACATGATAATCGACTCGCGGGGTGCATCCATCATTAGTGCACATTGAATCTCAATCCCCTGCTTGGTGACTCCCGGTATCGAGGCAACAGAATCACGCATTCTGCTGTTCCACTCTCGGTGCTGGCCGAATCACATCAACACCGATGAAGAGAAAATTTAAATCTAAGCACACAATTTGAGAACATTTTTTTCGCTTCCTGCATTATCCAACATAAAAACTGACTGTTCCAGATAGATGGAAGACTGGGTTTGAACAAAAGAGAAATAACAGAAAATGTGGTAGGAATGATATGAAATAGCGGATCAGAGGACGGCTTGTGGTGTGTGTGTGCGTGATGAAAAACGGTCGATTGATGCTCCATTGCAAAATGTATGTTCTGGCGCTTTCCTGTTGTGCACACTGCTCAGGGATGATACATGAAAAGCTTGATGGCTTGATGGTTGGAACGAAAAGACAAAAAATACACCACTGGTCTATTCGCACAACTCAAAATGGAGAATATTAGGGTAACAATAGGGTGAAGGGTGGCGGTGGCGATAAGAATAACAGCAATAACAGCGATAATCAAAAAGAATAGCGAAACGGTACTGTACCACACCGGGGTGTCAATTCCACGCAATGATCACGTGTGTGTGTGTGTGTGTGTATACAAAATGTGGCGCAATCGGAAAGGCGTTATGCAGCACCAGGCTCAGAGGAATGTGTTGTTGTTGATGTGGTTTCTGTGCATGTGTAATTTCCATACTTTAACTCGTCCTTGAACGTTTGACTTGTGTACATATTAAAAACCATAAGTGTGGGGACATATACGTGAACAGAGTGTAAGTGGAATTAGGGATGGTCGTGGTTTGGCACACTATCACCTTTAGCTGTGGTGGTCAGCTTTTCAGAGAGTCGAACGCTTTTGTTGTTTTGTAGGCCCTTGACCTCATGCGGACTGGGCTGAGCTCATGATCCGAGGACCGGTGGGTGCGAGCTTTTCGCTTGAATGTACCGCTTGTGAGACTGGAGTCAGTGGCGGAAGCGAGGGTGGAAAACACGGGGGAATGTAGGTGTTGAGTAGGACACCGTGAAGGGCTTGGAACGCTGGTCTGATCCTGAATGGCCGGATCGGTGGACAGGGAGAAAAATTGCTTCAGAGTACCTGCGTCGAAGCAATGCAATCGGTTGAGCATTTTCAGAACCTCCGTAAACGAACTGTCCTTTTCTGTGCTTGGATTTCGTGTCAATTCGGCTTCCAGTTCGGACAGTGCCTCTGGATAACTGGTCGAAAAATGATGAGGGTAGGCGTTTAGGGGGGGGGGGGAGAGGACAAAAAACAAAGAAGAACCGGGTTATTGGATAGAGATCAATATAGAAAGAAGGTTAATTTTAGTGATGAAGATATTTTGAAGACTGTTTTTCTTTCGATATTTCACTCTCAGGTGAAGACAAGGGAAGGCAAACAATGCTGTTCAGCTGGTTTTATCTTTGTTGGTACCCATCAGCAGTGAACGTGCTACGAATCTTGAGGATAATTGGAACCCGCGAATTTTCGCTTGGTACTTGAACACCAAGACATTCGGTTATCAGTGACCGCTCAGAAATCTATCTCAAACTTCGACCGGACTTGGCGACACCCGTCGTTCAATAGCACAATTCACGGGCTTCGAGCGATAACTTCCCAGCTAGAAGGTTCGTGAGAATTGAGCAGATTACTCACAGGTTCTTGGTAGTTGGGAGATTCGAATCTCACTACACTAAAGCAGCAAGGATGAAACGACTGTACAGCG